GTAGTCTTCTGCCCCCTCCTAGTAGTCTTCTGCCCCCTCCTAGTAGTTTTCTGCCCCCACCTAATAGTATTTTGCCCTCTCCTACTAGCAGAATGGAATTGACTGGCGCGCAGAGGCCTTCGACCAACGTCAAGCGTGCCCGCCTCGACGAGACAATGTCTCCAAGAGGTAAGCCCAAACGGCAAAAATTCGAAAGGCCCACGCAAACACGAACATACCCCGAGGTAACTAACCCAGAACTTCTGGCTGTGATTACTTCGGCTAATACTGGCTACATAAGGAGCCCCGATGCCGATTCGGTGCAGGAAGCCCTATGCGAGCTCCTTGCTCAAGGAGCGGAGGAATGTGGCGACGACGTCGGCCCACAGTTTCGGGGTAAACCCGTATATAGTGATGGGGCCCTGAAACTGTGGTGTCAGGACAAGGCCACTTTCCTTTGGCTGAAGGACGCCATCAGTACTATCAGGTTGCCGTCCGGAGAGACCCTATCATTAAAGAATGGAACGGAGGCTCCCCGGAGGGTGGTATGTGGACTGCTGATCCCAGGCCACTGGGAGGACGCACGCCGAATCGGTCGCATCCTGAAATGGCAGAACAAATGGGCGGAAGTTCACAGATGGCTTGTCCACAAGTTACAAGATCGAGGAGGACATACCTTTGTGGTGATAAGCTTGCCAGAAGACCTAGTCCCCGTCATTCTGAAGTATGGTCGGCGTTTCAGCTTTCAACTGGGCACAATTTACCTCAGGTTTAGATCTAAGAGGGGCCTGTACTCGGATGTACCGCCAGAAAAGGTGCCTACACAACCCACTGTACAAATGGAAGTCTCTCCGGAGCCCTCTACCTCTGGTACTCCCGGTGAAGGAAAAGGGCCCTCTCCAACCCCCGACGACCCTAGAGATTCCGATGATTATTCGGAGGCATCTGATAGCTACGACGACTGTGTGGAAGGGACGGGAGACATCCGCTTGAGTGAGGAGGAGGACTTGCTGCTGTCAACAGATAGCGTAGTCCCCCTCGCTCAATAACTACCAAATAACAATGCAACCTCCACCACAGCAAGGCCGGAACGATTCAGCTCTAGAAGTGGTTAGGTTAGGTGAATGTATCGTCATGTGCTCAAACGAATAGAATAATGAAAATTTTAGTCGACTCAAATTCAACCGAGATCCGTTTACGCGAAATTGACAACACATTTAATACATACTTGCCCTGTGGTAATAAAGACAAGAACTCTACTGAAAACAATTTCCAGGTTGCAGGTTTGTCCAAAAAATTAAACTACTGGCATCTAACCTAACACACCCACCTACTGGTAATACGCTGAACATGCAACTGAACATGGATTGTGAGCACCTTTCGTCTATACAAAGCCTCGGACCAAAATGAAGTTTTCCTCGGACTCTTACAATGAGGCAGCGGCACTTTGTTTCTGCACCTGGTCAACATATTTCAGGGTATCATATCGAAAATGATTAAACTTTCCAGCTTTCGGGTACCATAGCCGAACAGCCTGGTAAAACCAATTGCACTAATGAAAAATCCTCAGACCCATTAGACTCACACCGCTTTTATTGGTGACCATGGAGAGTCTGTGCGATAAAGAAATAAGGACCAAGTCCTAAAGAACACACCACATCACATACACCTTAATCAACATACATCCAAGGTAAGTAAGTACACAGATTCGGCCCTATACGCTATTATCGGCAAAATAGAGGCCCGCAAAATGAAGGCAATTTGCCTAGGTACCTTTGATGACATTAAAAGAGCCTTTGACAAAACTAAGAGGATGTGAAGAGTATTGGAAGCAGTCAAGCAGCGCCACTCACTTCCGTCAATTTTCGTCATCAAGATGTTTGAGCAGCAGACACCAGTCCATTGTTATCAAGTTTCTCGGTCGGGTAGATATAAAACCACTCGAGATCTACGAAATGGAACAGTTAAAGATACAGACAATTTCTAAAGCTGAAATATTTCCTTCGCACAAGCAATTCATAGAGCACAGAAAACGAGAGTCATGATCACCGACCTCGCATCAGCATCACACAACAATATTTGCCGTTCAACAACTTCTAAGGGCAATACGCCGCCGGACAATAAACGCTGCATACTACTGTAAGGTTTTGAAATAGTAAGACATATCACCGGAAACGAATTTACTTATCGATGAGACAAACAGTTCTACTCCAAGAAAAGCTCTCCTTCGTACAGCTGTCCTAACCCTGTAAACCTAACAAAAAGTGGACCGATTCCGTTGGAAATATTTGACCACCTTTCCTGTAGCGAGGACCGAGCTTCCATGTTTTTGGTCCCGTCTCTGGTGATCGGTTTCAACGGTGACGCAGTGGTTGAAGCGTATATGCGTAATGGCTGCAGACACTATCGACTTCATTCTACTACAGGATATCAAAGATTCGCAACGAAAAATGTGTTTAGAAGCAACGGAATATGTGGAAAAATTTGCTGTTTTTTCAATGGAAAATAAAAAAAATTAAATAAAGTCTTGTTTATATTTGATTCACCGTAATACCTTCTATCCAAACTTTTAGCACAGAGTTAAGGGCGCAATACTCGATAACTACCTGAACTAGAACAAACACTTGGAAAATAAATAAAAAGACTACACTTTCTATGATAGAATGGTAAACAATGGGGCACTCTCCCCAAAAAGAAATCAGTAGCTCTACAATATACCTACTATCGCACCGTAGCTAAAGACAATAACCTATAATCGGCTACGATGCGATAATATTATAGTGGTCTCTCGACCAAACTAACAAGTAAATAATAAGTTGGAAATAGTTATTTGTTATGCAAAGTTGTTTTTTTCGCATCGCGCCAAGTCGTAGTTTTGTGTTTCGACCCTAATAGTGCATAGAGTCGTCTACTAAGCACTGAAACAAACGCATACAACAAAAAACACAAACAATCAAAAGTTCGTGGATTTACATCTATTTGCCAAGTTTTATTGAAGTCGGTTACCGGTAAGTGCGCGAAACCGGATTCACTCCTAGTTTGCCAACCTTACTGAGGTACAGGGTCAAGAGCACGTCATGCTTTACACTTAAAACTTAAATCCAACTCTGCCGCTTACGACAAGAACGGTCCCAAGTACATAGTGTCAAGCTTGATGTGCTCTTGACTGTACCCTCATTCCAGCAAAAAAAAATCAACAAAATCGCTTCACAAATTATCGTGTAATAAACGTATGAGTAACTTAGCTCGCAATTATTTGAATATTTAAATTTGCGGGGTCACTTTCTAGTCTTACAGTAAACCTAGATCAATGACTAAACATTAATTCTCTTTGTCGTACCTGTGCGTGCATTATACTAACTACCATAACTCTGTCGTAACTTGATCTCATTCGAATTGATATTCTACACAAATTCGTGTAATTGAAACGATATGGAACATGGTCATTTTTTAGAAACGCGGTGATTGAGACAGCTTACCTCGTTGGACAAAATTATCAGGCGTTTTGTATGGTATACCACTTACCTTACTAATAAATGCGTCTTGGTTGTTTTTTTAGTAGTTGTGAAAGAGTTCGTCCAGGGATGTATTACCTATTTCTGCCGCCAAATAAGTATAATAATGCATTACTACGTTCCGGTTTTGAGGGTGAGGGTGCTTGTTGGTGGAGTTATAGGACTTGTCAACATGTTTCAAGGTGACGG